GATTGCTAGCAACTTCACTGTAATTATGACAAAAACTGCTGAATCAGATGCAGATCACACAATAGGAAGGTTAATGTAAGCGCGTTTCTACTCCAAGGCCAATTGGTTTAGCAAACTGAAAAAAAAGAGGATTATATCTTAAAATGCGTTGCCTGCTGTTTTGGGAAATGATGCCACTAAGCGTGTGTCATTTATGCCCTAAGTTTGTGACCAACAATAGGTATGGTGGCAATTAAACAGGTGCACACATGGAGGCATGAAGAAGAATAGGCTTCAAAATCCAGTCTTAACTGCCTTGCAAATTACTTTTGCTTTTAACTTCACAAAATTTAAAGAGTAAATCTGCAAGTAGCTGAATTTTTCAGCCTCAGTATTCAGGAGGACTCAGAATTCCTGATTCTCACTTTAGATGAAAGTTTCCAATTTGTATTTCCATGCAGAAGAAAAATGTAACACACATAATGCCTGCATTTTATCACAGTATGAACATAATCATTATTATAGAGAATAGGTGATCTAAATGAGAAGGCTTAATATTTGCTATTTTCTCCCCATGTATTTGAAGCTTTTCAAGAAATACTTGGCTAGTGTTTTCAGTGAGGCAGTTTCCGAAAGCCTGAATGAAAGCCCACTAAAGTAAAAAATTTAAGTGGAGGTTAAAATAGGCTCATAGAAACACCCAGAAATATATCTGTACATGTAACTGACATGATGGTTTATTTGCTTGAAAATTAGAAAATGTATTCAATGAGAAGTGTCATGGAGAAGCTTGTGGGAGGGGTCAAATCAGTTTTAACTAATATGGACAGCTAAAGAAAATGATCATTCATTTTACTTGTCTTTTGAAAATGTTTGCCCTCAGGGAAGAGTGTGTACCTGTAGAATGTAACTGTGATTATCACAGATTGTCACAAAGTGATTATATGAATTGAAGCTATGTTTCTTGTCAACAAGAAGTTAATCAAGAGGACATCAAACTGTGTGAAGTTTGCTCTGATTTGAACAATAACGTGTAACCAGACTTTTTATACGTGGCTCTCTGAGGGTCTGCTCTGTTTATGCTTTTGCTCTTTATGTGTCTCTTCCCTCCTGAATTGCCTGGATATGCTCGCTTCTCCTCCAAGCCTTGCTTTATTCTTCATGTGAGGAATCTTGAACAGCCTCCTAAATAATGTCCTCCAGACTTCTTTTCTCAATCAAAATGTTTCTTAATACCTACCTATCTTTCACAGCTGCAGCTGTCTTCCAGCCTTGATCATGTGGAAGCTATCTTCCATCCTCTATAGAATATAAAAATCAGGTGCTAACCAGACACAAGTCCTTTCATTGTCCTCAGCTACTATGACCGAGGACACCACAAATCGTGATGCTGTCACATGTGTTTTACTCACCCATTTGCAGGAGCTGCTGCTGTCAGCACAAATTGAGCTGCGGTGATCTTGTGCTGCCAGCAGAACTTTGGCTAATGGTGAAGTGTTCAAGAGATCAGGTAAAACTGACAACCAGTAGTGCTGAAAGGGCTGAAGAGCACTAGGTTGGAGACTAGTTGCTAGGGATTTGCTGCAATACTGACCTACAAACTAGTCTAATATTTTCAGTAACAACTTCAATGGAAAAAGTAAGAATGAATGAATGTAGTGTGCTAGTAATGCGAAGATGAACAGGAGCATCGCTACAGAGGAAGATTGGCATAACACACAGTTTTTGATGACCTGAATAATAGAAACGAGAAGCAGTGCAACAGTACAAAAAGCAATAGCTTAGGAAATAACAGAAGTTCCTATTAGAAGCTGCTTTTAACAGAAGCACAGCTGTTGGGAATGTCTGAGATAAAAGACTTGGTCAGATTATCTGACCTTATTTTTTATGAGATAACTGAAGTTTTTCAGCCGTGAAAGACAAACAAAATAAAAAAATGTGCAAGAGAGCTACTTCCCGTAGCTAACGGTAAGCATTAAGGTAGTTAAGTACTGAGGCTTCTGATCCATACTGTGCTATGCTGTGCTGTCTCGAGATCACATCAGGCACAGAGGAGGGCCGCTCTGATGAGGTGGGAAATACAAGGCTATTACAAGAATAGGGAAGAGTCTAATAGCTCTGGGCATAGCCTCTCAGTGAAGTATTTGTGGGATTTCCAGGGAAATGGTTTATGTCGAAAAGGCACAGCACACCCTAAAAATCTAATCTGGGAAGGTCTGTGATTGCTCTCAGGAAATACGTGAGTTGGGTAAATATTACAAAGAGAAAAGGTGTTATTTATGATGAAGAATGTTATATACAAACCATTAATAAATTTGTAATTAGAAATAGATTAGGCTTGAGATTAGAAGAAGGTGAGTAACCATTGCCAGTCTGGAATAATTCCCCAAGGAAGAAACACAGTGGTGGTGAGATCTTGTTATTAAGAAAGAACATGATTGGTTTTTAAGAGCATTATAACAGTTGGCTTCCTGGGCTAGCAGATATCTATGAAAGATTAGCACATATTTGTATAAAAGGTCCATTACAGTTTCATGTTCTGTGAAAGCTGGTGGCACAACGTGGTGATGATCCTTGAAACGAAGACACAGGCAAAATTGATCCACAGATTCTGTGGCAGAGTATTACGTTCCAACAGCACTGATCATTTTAATGAAAGTGGGATGTGACTTATATGAATATGGAGTAGATTTTGGTTTAGTTTGGCTTTAAGTAGAAGTAAGCGTGGTGTTTGGCTTTGGATTGCTGGTATTCCAGGAAAGCTAAAAGCCATGCGGAACTCTGAAGACTTAGCTGATTTCTGTATATATCTCATCTTTGAGCTGTGATTGCTGCTGTATTTTCCTTGTGATTCTGTACAGCACAAAGCAGAAAAGTTGATGGCAGTTTTCTCTTTCTACAGCAATTTTTAACATATTCACCAAATCACAGGTCTTGCAAGTCTGCTGAGCTATCAAAAGTCAATTAAATTAATAAAATCCTAAGACTTTCAGTCAGAATACTTTCTTTTGGTGTATGTATTGTCAAAAGATTGTTTCACAAACTGGTCAAGATCAATTCCCTCATACAAGTAAAAATTTTCTTAATTTAGCCAAGAAGAACCAAGACTCTTGTCAAGTAATCGTAAATGCCATTCACCTAAATACTTAGCTGCTACTTAACTAAATATTCCTTGAAAATAAATATCCTAAATCTTCTTCCAAAGTAAGCAGTGGTGACAAATAGTAATTATGAAAATCATATGGATTTTGAATGAAAAATGTTGTGGAAGTCTTCTTTACTGAAAGGGCTGCAGGTTAGTGGGCCTGTCTACCAGTGAACTGAGATTAACGAATCATTTCATTCACTCCAGTAAGCTTGCTTTAAAAAGGTAGTGAGCATCCATTTTAACATAATGTTGCTATTACCTGAAGACTCCTCACAGTCCCTCTAGATTGCTTTGTTGTGTTTGTATCTAAGTTGTTTGTTTGCTTTTGTTTGCTGCTTGTTTTTCAGAATTCATTGATATATCTAAATTCTGTATGCTGAATTGAAATGTCCATGATTTATGGTGAAATAATAAACATATGTTTCTGGTTTATTCCCAGATTCAGAAGAGGAAATGAAAGCGTTAGATGCAGATTTATTGACCAATACAGAAGTCTTGCAGAAAGTAATAACCTATGGTCTAGACTGAAAAGTTCAGTGCTAGACATGACTTTGGTGTAAGATTTTCTGCAGTTCAAAGGAAATTTAAAGGTGTTGATGTGACACACTAGAAGTGCTCCTCACTCATAACACTGGTACTTCTATTAAACTGTCAAAACTTTGTTATGTGCAGAGATGTAAATTTATATGAGGAAATGTGTTTCCAATAGGATTATGCCTGATGAAAGCTAAATTAACCTTGAATCAAATCTGTAAATGCTGTTTTTACGCAGAAATTTTCCTATATGCGTATAAAATTAAGACAGTCATAAAGCAAAAACTGTTAATACATATGCTGATTTTGATTTACGAATTTAATCACAGTGTTAGTACAGGAACATGGGGACATGACTATGAAAATATTCATCTGATAAATGACATTTCCTTGACAAGCTGCCAGACTGTGAGTGATGTACATGTCATTTAATACAAATAGACAAGAATTCAGTTCCAATCTGGTATTGACAAGGTGAAGCAGCAAGTGTTGCACATACGTGCATTCAACATTGTTATTTTCCATGAATGATCAACATTGTTATTTTCCATGAATGATCTAAAAAATATATACATCTAGTATTTCTTCAGCAACATATTAAAGAACAAATCCTGAAACAAGTCCTATGGGCTTAAGGTTGAATGTTTTAATTCTTTGTTCTAATGAAGTTCAAGTGGTGCTTAAATTTAATTGAAAATAAAATGAGAAATTAAAATTTTCCCAAGAAAAACCAACAACTAGTTGAAGGTGAAGGACAAAACCTGCCTGGAAGATTGCTGTATTTGCTGTTTGCATTTATTTGTGGTCTTTTTCACGTGATCCTTTGAATAGACTAGAATAAGGCCAGAAAATACATTGTTTTGATCTGGTCTGGCAGTTCATAGGTTCCCCAGTTCTTTACTGGCACGGTACTTAACCTTAGATGCCAAATAAACCAGTTTACCACTCACTTCTCTAAGGTACATAAAGTTTTAATAGATATTCTTCTCCTGAGACAATTTTAAGCATAGGAGGCTGACAAAAACAGTTCTGTCTCTGTGGCAAAACATAGTGTGCCCTGGGAGGAAACTCTGCAGCTATTGGCATTTCTGCTGGTGACTTTAATGGAACTGGGAACCTAACTTGTGCTTTTTCCTCCCTGTAAGCACAAGACACAATCTCAGGTAACTAAAAATGCGCAAATACAATGCACCGGTTAATAATGTAATGATGTTTGCCACAATACTCTTATATGTTGTTTTACATCATGTAGCTTGCTATTCAATTTCCTTATGATACATACCATAAGTCGAGTGACACATAAAGTTGACAGAAGCAGTAGATGCATGGTGGAGACATTGGTTTAATTCTACATTATGCTGCCTTAAATCACCATCTACAATTCATTAGTTCAGTATATATTGTCTCTTGACATCAAAGTAAGGCACGGTGGAATCATTAAAAAGTGTGCATAAATGCCTCTACAGGAGGCATACCAGTATTCCGTTCTTCATTACGTAAATGACAAATTATTTTTATTCTTTTCTGGTGTCCTCTGCTAGCTTGTAATCCTCATTAGAACAAAAGTATGGTTCTGGTGTGAGAGACAAATTTGAGGATGGTGTGTGTAACAGCTGTCTTGTATTGTGCCTGAGATATGGTTCCAGTTGAGGGCAATTACTCTTAAATTACATTAACCATCTAGTAAGCACAAGGGAAATCCAGTCATAGCATTAAGGTGGGGAAAAAAAGGAAAAAGATTTTATGAAACATGAGATCTAAAAATGCGGCAAAGTGGATTATCACTCATGGTTCTAGTATTTTGAGAGAAAAAAATCTTCCTAAGTAGGCACTTGTGAAGTATAGTATCAAGACCAGAGCTACGGTTTAGGCACACAGAATCACAGAATCACAGAATAGTAGGGGTTGGAAGGGACCACTGTGGGTCATCTAGTCCAACCCTCCTGTCGAAGCAGGGTCACCTACAGCAGGCTGTAGAGGACCTTGTCCAGGTGGGTCTTGAATATCTCCAGAGAAGGAGACTCCACAACCTTCCGGGGCAGCCTGTTCCAGTGCTCCGTCACCCTCAGAGGGAAGAAGCTCTTCCTCATGTTCAGACAGAACTTCCTGTGCCTCAGTTTGTGACCATTGCCCCTTGTCCTGTCACTGGGCACCACTGAAAAGAGCTTGGCCCCATCCTCCTGACACCCACCCTTCAGATATTTATAAGCATTTATTAGGTCCCCTCGCAGCCTTCTCTTCTTCAGGCTGAACAAGCCCAG